AGCAGCACGTCCAGCTTACTTTCTGTTCTGGGTTTCACTGATTTTCTTTCTTCTGCTGTGAGCGTGTGAAGAGCTGAATGCTGGAGTAATATGCCGCTCTGCTGGCTTGTTGAATTTCACAGGCTTTCAGGAACAAACCACTCAAACACAAATCCACAGAGGTTCTTCCTGAACTCGCCAGACAATTGTGCTGCTGAAGGTCTCAGCGGCCTTGAAAGGAGCCTGCTGTCTACGGGGAGTTTAGAAGAGAGTTTAAGTTCCTTTCGCTGAGGATATTGTCAGCGCTGAGCCAGGAGAGCTGCGTTTGAGTTTGTCATGAGGATCTTAAGAGAGTCTTCTGGTGTTGTTACAGATGAGAGCTGCCATATGTGCTAAAATCATTAAAGAATCCGTGTTTGTTCACTGTAACTCTCTAGGGGCCCTTATAGGGGAACTAGAGCACAATGACTGAGGTACGTGTTTGTGTGTGCATGAGACTGCATGCTAATAGGTGTCCTAAATGTCACGATGGTTAATGAATGGCTCGTTCACGGACCGTCACATATTGCACACTGATGCATACTTCTTTGGCCATGCATGGTGCTGTAGATTTCATTACAGGTTGGTAGTTGAATGCCTGTGCTTTTCACTTTCTTACAGAAATAAGGATGCAGGAGCTTTGTGTTTACTGATGTAAAAAACAGCTTTGCACAGCAGTCACAGAACTCTGTGATGTTTTACATTACATTTTACATTATAAATGTATATTAATTATACATTTTTAAAACAGGGACTCATTACAGGGTAGGGCTGTCATATTATGACAAAAATCATTATTGGGTGGGTGGGTGGTGAATGTAACGTTAGTCTAGTTTAGCGCAAGTTATGCAAAAACCGCACTCAACAAAACTCCAGCATTTTTAGCGCTTACTAATCGAAATGCCTCTGATTGGCCATTGCGTTCATGATCTCAACAGAAACGTGTGTGATTGGTTATAATGCTCACCGCTGCACAAAACAACACGTAAACAGCAATCTGATGTGACGTGCTTAGATCTAAACGTAATTCCGTGAAATTGACACTTTTAATTCATTTTCACATTTAATTTTAACGCGACAGCCTCAATAGAGTTAGTGTAATTGTTCAGGGGCAGTTTGAATTTGAGGGGCATTTTTGTTCATTAAGCCCCTGTTAATTTCTGACCATGATGGTGATGCGGTTTCTTTCTCTTCCTCTGTGTTATAGATTCAGGGTTCGGTGGGCTCTAGTACATCATCTCTCAACTGCAATGCAGCAGATCCAGACCTGCCTGTGATGTACCGACCGCTGTGACTGACACAAGACCCATTACCCTCATCCGTCTTCTGTTTCTGCAACAACCTGCTGGTGATCTGCTCACTAACTGCACCATCATGCAGGTCTTCAAAGTTGCAAGTATTTGGTGAAACAAAACAGCTGCTTATTTAAATGTTTTAAAGGAGTAGTTCGCCCCAAAAATTGACATTTTGTCATCCATCAGTAGCCCTCATGTCAATCCAATCCAAATCATTCTTTCATGAAAATAAGTGCAGTAAGGTATGATGATGGCGTATGATAGCTTTGTGTGATGAATAAACCTCTGTTATCTGATGATCTTTCCCCTTCACTGAAGCTCTGAAATCGTCTACAAAAATGACACTACGACATCATTTGATGTTCATTTGACTGATTCAAAATGCCTTTGGTTCTCTCTTGTCCCATAAGCAAATGCCATTTCAAACCTGATGCAGCACATCGAAAAACACTTCATATTTGATTTAGCTACAGATTTTCAGTGTACAATGTCTCATATATAGTATATATAGGCTTACACACACACACACACAAATTGTTCAAAAGTTCGGGGTTGGTAAGATTTTTTTAAATGCTTTTGATAGAAGTCACTTATGCTCACAAAGGCTGCATTTATTTAAAGAAAAATACAGTAAAAACAGTAATATTGTGAAAATTATTATAATTCAAAATAACTATTTTCTAATTTATTACATTTTAAAATGCAATTTATTCCTGTGATTCAAAGCTGAATTTTCAGCATCATTACTCCAGTCTTCAGTGTCACATGATCCTTCAGAAATTATTCTAATATGCTGATTTGCTGTTCAAGAAACGTTTCTGATTGTTATCAATGTTGAAAACAGTTGTGCTGCTTCAAATTTTTCTGAGAACTGATCAGTTTTATGGTGTCCTAAATGTCATGATGGTTAATGAATGGCTCGTTCACGGACCGTCACATATTGCACACTGATGCATACTGCACTATAAAATAGCAAGCTGAAATCACCTGCTCCAATCTGATTGGCTTTATGCACTTTTCTGGAGTCAGGGAACACAGGTTTATATCAGTCCGCTGTTAGTTGTGTTTAACGGTTAACTGACTGCTATAGTTACAACTTTTTTAAACTATTTTTTTTTTACTTTTTTATACAACACTTTGCAAGGCTTTATAGCATCAAATCTTTGAGTATTCAAGATATTCTGTCTTTTGAGTGATATAGTTGAATAAATCTTAAAATGAGCAAGTAACATCATATTTTATATTATTATATTAGTGATTTTAACTATAATATATAAATATTGAAAAAAAATCTATATTACATATATTATTTTCATGACTGATTCTTATTACTATAAAATGTTTGGATTTATTTTGTGATTTTGTCTGTTTGTTTTTTGAATGATTTAGAATAATTATAATTTCTGTAAATACAGTTTTTTTTAAATTTTATATATATATATATGATTTGCTGTTCAAGAAACGTTTCTGATTGTTATCAATGTTGAAAACAGTTGTGCTGCTTCAAATTTTTCTGAGAACTGATCAGTTTTATTTTCAGGATTTTTGATAAAAAGAAAGTTCAAAAGAACATCTTTTATTCGAAATAGAAATCTTATAAATGTTTTTATAAATGTCACTTTTGGTCAATTTAATGCATCCTTGCTGAATAAAAGTAATACATTCTTTCAAACAAACAAAACAAATTACTGACCCCAAACGTTTTGTCATTTTGAGAACTGACAGGCCAGGCCTCTATTCACTTTATATATACAGACTTTTTTGTATATGCTTTCAACATTCACCTTTTCTGTTTCTCAGACGAGACAAAATGAGGGAGAATAAATAATCAGAGAATTTTCATTTCTTGTTGAAATATTCCTAGTCACCGACACCTGTGTCTCATTCAAACACTTCATTTGTCTAAATGGACATTTCCTGCATTATTGTATTGTTTCCCCTTCTGTGGTAATGTGCGGTAACCATATTGAATGAAGTCTCAGGTGTTTCATCTCATTCTGCTCTTCTGTGACCTTTAAAACAACAATCTTCTCAAATGCCAAAGAGATGCGTTTCTCCGTTTCACATCCAGGCATGTTTGTGGAGCATGTCAATGCAGTCATGAAACAACATTATGCAAAACATTACATTAACATGTAATCTAAATATTTATTTCAAGTTATTAAAATATGAATATGATGCAATTTATAGTCTTTGTAACCCCCAAACCGCTGTTTGTTTCATGCTCATACAGTACATTTGGCAAGTAACTGGTTAACTGTGTTTACTGAAAAATTACAGAATGAAATGAGACATCACGGCCTTTAATGAAACGGGAAGACAAGAAATGATTCTAAAGGTTTGTCATTTACTGTCAAACAATGCATTCGAATGAATATTCCCATGGTGGCGAGCTTCTATTATGTTGTTAAGAATATTATAATATTTCTGAGCATCACAGCACTCGTGATGAATCACCTCCGGTTACTCTCAATTTCCCACAGCTGGGAAGATACTACAGGCCTGTATCATATGTACTGCATGATCTATGAGAGCTACACGTGTGTGTGTGTGTGTGTGTGTGTGTGTGTGTGTGTGTGGAGCGCACTCCGTCTCCATTCGTCCGGGTGCTACAGGTTTATTGTCCTCAAATCCCATTCAGGAGAATGACTGATGAGGGCCGCCGACTGCCTGCTTTTAACCTCTTCCAGGGAAGTCGGGCTTCTCTCTTCCCCGTAAGACTACCTCCCTAGTTCTCATTTCTCCACTCCTCTAGCTTTTCACAGCCTTCTCTCAACATATATCGCTAATTCTATTTCTCTCTTCATCTAAGCCTGGGGTGTTTTCCATCTGCCCTTTTCTTACTCACTTACTCTATCTTTAAATCTCAATATCTTCCTTCTCTCGTCTTCCCTCAGTCTCTCTCTCTCCCTCAGGCTCTTAACTAGCACTCGGTAGCCAAAATTAGAGATGCAGATGCGAGACTGAGGCGCTAACCGTGCATGGGAAACTTAATTGTGTAATCTTGGGGTCGTTTTTCCTATCTTGCTCAATTCGTACAGGCAGCACAAGCATGAAGGGAGCGGAAAACATAATACTGATTGACTGACAGCTCTCTCAGCCAGAGAATTCGGTCCATGGCAGCATGTTGAGACAAACACGGTCAATAAGAATAAAATGCAAAGTAGAGAGCAAGAAATTTTCATGTTTTAAACAAAGATGAACAAATATTATCGGGGATGTTTGGTTCCAGGCCATGTGTGTCTGATCCAGAAATATCATTGGCTCAACGTGTACTGTACACAAGTACGTGAACCCAGACATTTTCATTTCAACATAAGTATGCACTGCATTCTCAGTGTTGCCACGAGAGGGAGCGATAGCGGGTATTAGCTAGCTGTCGTCTTCTACGTTTAGGCAGTCTTCTATTGTAATGGCAGAGCTTTGAGAAACAATTTGAGCAATTAAATTAATTACATTTAGGTAAACTGGCAATATTTTATAACTAGCTATTAGAATGACATCATATCCAATGCCTGAAATTAGGTCTATGGTTAACACAAGCTCAAGATATTTTCATGTTTTAAAATAAAATACACACGTAATACCCGTGTGTGTGTGTGTGTGTGTGTGTGTGTGTGTGTGTGTGTGTGTCTGTGTGTGTGTTAAAGCCCTGCAGTCATACGGCATGCAGTGGGATTTTCCTGTGTGTTGTGTATGTAGGTCATGAAGGGACTCACTGTGAACCAGGATTGATGCCTAAATGTCTCTGACTCTTCTAGAGCAAAGATGCATGACCAGACGAGAGGCACAGGATGATTGATGGCTTATATCACAGCAGAGAGAAAGAGAGACTGTATAGGTAAGTTCCACTTCACAGATAAACAGCTGTGAGAGCAAATGTTCCATTTTCTTAAACAAATGTATGTTTTAATTGGTTCGGAACACTTTGACAGGGTTTTTGTTGCGGAAAATTTGTCAAACTTTCTCCTTTCTTGAGGCCTGTTAACAAGAACTAAACTAACCGCAGACGAAAGGGCTATTCACATGTAGAGCAAAAGCAGTTCTTCAAGTGCTGGATAGGAACAGTTTACCCGAAAACACCAACTCTGTCCTTCCAAAGCAATTTTATTCTTCTGTGGAAACACAAAAGCATAAATCAGGGTTGCCAGGTACAAGAAAAAGTTTCAATCCAAATCCAAAATCCACTCAAAATGCACCCAAAAGGAATGAAAATGAGGCCAATTTTTTATCTTGTCCAGTCACAGTTGACAGCAGGGGGCCTTAGAATAAATGTTTTTATTTGATTTATTCTGTTTTAAATCATATTTGTATGATTTTAGCTAGAATTGTCTATATGTCACATGTGCATATTGAATAATTTAATCTCTTTAATTTTGGTACTTTGGTACTTTTTGGTAGCCCATAACCCCCCACCCCTTCAAAAAAAAAAAAAAAAACCCTGCAACTCTGTCATTTTCCCCCTTCTGTGAAATAAGTTAAATGGCTGATAAGGTGAGAGAAATGATGATTATACATAAAACTGATATGCCAACTGAGGTCTAGGGGCTATTTAACTACCATATAAGTTTCAAAACAGTCAGTCCACAGTAAAAAGCGCACAGCCTGCATAAAGTAGCTGTGATTTTTCACGAACCGTTGTGACTTCCGTAAAAAGTTGACGTTGGTACTTTGGTACTTTTTGGTAGCCCATAACCCCCCACCCCTTCAAAAAAAAAAAAAAAAACCCTGCAACTCTGTCATTTTCCCGCTACTGCATTTTCAAAATAACCTAGTTGTGTGGGAAAACTGTGATCTTGGCAACATGCACTTTTCAGTACGATTAGAATAAAGGGGAACTAAAGATGTCAAGCTTCAAAAAGACATAAAATATCTTAAAAATGGTCCATATGAATCCAGTTTTATATTCCAAATCATCTAAAGTCATGCAGTAGCTGTGTGTGAGGAGCAAGTCAAAACGTGGCTATGGGCTGCCATTATAGAATAGAAAAGAAAGAAAGAGAATTATATATTTGTGAACAAATTAAATAAAATAAAAAAATTAAATTAAAGGATTTAAGAATTAAAACAAAGAATTTAAGATGAATTTTAGTAAATAATTAAAATAATTCACAAATAAGTTTGAACTGATTCTCAAGTCATCCACAGTGGTCATCAAGTCATCCACAGTGGTTAAGTTAAATTTAAGCCACAGTGGCTTAAATGTAGGTCTGTTCTTCACACTAAGCTATCATATGACTCCAGAACACTTATACTGCTCATATGAACTACTTTTATGGTGCATTTTCATCCTTTTTTGAAGCTTGAAAGCTTAAAGCTCCCCGTGATTGTGAGCGCGCGCGCACACACACACACACACAAACACACACACACACACATTGTTCAAAAGTTTGGGGTTGGTAAGATTTTTTAAAATGCCTTTGATAGAAGTCTCTTATGCTCACAAAGGCTGCATTTATTTAAAAAAATATTGTGAAAAATTATTATAATTCAAAATAACTATTTACTAATTGAATATATCAATTATATGTATATATATATATATATACATATTGATTGGATTCAATTGGATTGAAACTTTTTCTGGTACCTGGCAATATACAGTGGGTACGGAAAGTATTCAGACCCCCTTAAATTTTTCACTCTTTGTTATATTG